CCCCCTCCCCCTCCCCCTCCCCCTCCAACGACTGGTCGCACCAGTTCGACCGGACATTTTTTTAGTCGCAATATTAGGAAATCAGGTCACATTTGTGACCAAACTGGTCGCACTGTAGAGGCCTGTAACTGTTAGCCTGTGTCTGCTTGCTGTGTTGTTTGTGATGACAGTGAGTTCACCTGTGCTCCCAGCTCATATCTTCTCCCTGCTGTGCTGTCAGGGTCGTGGTTTCACACATCGGTTTGTTTTCATGTTTTCATGTTTGAAGTTTCACTGACAAACTTCTGTTCATCTGCAGGTCTGCATGCCCGTGGGTCTGCACACCTCTTTCCCAGACAACAACCTGCAGCTCATGGTCCARTCAGGAGCCAAGGGCTCCACCGTCAACACCATGCAGGTACAGCCACACAAACACACTGTCCACATTACACACARCTCAACAAACATGCCTTTAGTGTGAAACTAAAACCAATGTTTGTGTCAGATCTCATGTCTGCTGGGTCAGATTGAACTGGAGGGGCGTAGGCCTCCTCTCATGCCTTCTGGGAAGTTCCTGCCGTGCTTCCAGCCCTACGACCCGTCACCTGGTGCCGGGGGCTTTGTTTCTGGCAGGTTCCTCACAGGAATCAAACCTCAGGTGCGTTCAGCTGCTTTCACTCATTTCTCATCAATAATCATGATGCTACAGCTTTCAGTAGAAGGCCTCTCATCTTTATGAAACAGAAGTTAAAGTCCTTTTGACATTTATTAAACCAGTTGTGTTTTCATGTGCTGGATGTGTGAACATCTGCATCAACACACATCAAAGTCTGTTACACAACAAGGATTAAGATCAAGTTTACACACTTGATAAGCAACATAAAGTTGATTGCATCATGTGAAGAACATCTGCAGATCCTCCGTWAAGCCTGGTTGTTGTACCAAACGTCTTTTTGAAGTGTTGTTTTGTTGGCGTCAGGAGTTTTTCTTCCACTGCATGGCTGGAAGAGAAGGACTGGTGGACACAGCTGTGAAAACATCTCGATCAGGATATCTGCAGAGGTAACGAGATCATTCTGTTGTGTATGAATTATGTTATAAACTTCAACACTAGTAATGACTGATCAGCTCCACTCACTGACCTGAATATTATTATTATTATTATTTTAGCTGCATTGATAAAACATGTCTTCCTTCTGTCCTTCATCTCCTGTGCTGTGAAGGTGCATCATTAAGCATCTGGAGGGATTGGTGGTGCAGTACGACCTGACGGTGAGGGACAGCGATGGCTCTGTGGTCCAGTTCTTGTACGGTGAAGATGGCCTGGACATCCCCAAGACTCAGTTTCTGCAGCCGAGACAGTTCCCCTTCATCGAGGACAACTATGAGGTACCACAAGCACCGAGGACAGGTCCTGTTTTTGTTCAGCTGCTGCAGAAACTGAACAGGATTTACAGTTGTGGTCAAAAGTTTACATACACTTGTAAAAAAACATAATGTTATGGCTGTCTTGAGTTTTCAATAAGTTCTACAACTCTTATTTTTCTGTGATAGAGTGATCGGAACACATAC